GATTGAATTTTCCCCCATCTCAATTGCATTTCCCTTTATCTTATTTTAGTTATATACTCCCATAAACGCATCCTTTCTCCACTTCCAAAGTCACAAATTGAAACATCCTACTGTCTAGACACAATTACTAAACATTAAACATTAAAGATTAAAAGATGGGAAAGCAACTGCATAATGGGAGTAGTTTTGAAAAAGTGACCATGCCTACCCAGGAAAAGTTGCAGGCTCAGAAAAGCCCTGCAGAGACCTTAAGCTTACATCTCAGGTTGACCCTTGGCACAGAAACATTCTACAACAATCAAATAAACAAAACAATATACAAAACAACACTTCTTTAGCTGCATCCTACAGATTTTGATACTTCTTTTTTTTTTCATTTTAATATAGTTCAAAATGTTTGTGACTTCTTGACCCATTGATTATTTTGGAGTATGTTTTTACACAGTTGAGAATTTTTAAGTAATCTTTGTGTAATTGATTTCTTTTTTAATTCTGCTATAGCCATACAACATGCTCTGAATAATTTCATTTCCCTGAAATTTGATAAAGATTGCTTTGAAACTTAGCACATGGTCAATTTTGGTAACTGCTCCATGTACATATGAAAAGAGTGTGTATCCTCTTGTTATTTAATGAAATGGTCTATAAATATTTAGTAAGTAAAATTTTAAATTATGTTGATTACCTTCTACAGTTTTATTAGTCCCATTAGTCTTTTGTCTCCTTGTTTTTCATTTCTTGAGAAGTGTGTCAAAGTCTCCCACGATGACATTAGATTTATATGTCCTTTTAGTGCTGTCAATGTTTACTTTATGCATTCTGTAGCTATTACAGAACTTGGTGCATATAGGTTCAGAATATTCATATCTTTGTAGCGAACTTACACCTTAATTGTTATGAATATCCCCCTACATCTCTAGTTATGATTCTTCCCCTAACATTCACTTTCTTTTTCATTAATACAGCAACATGGGCTTTCTTCTGATTAGTGTTTATGTGGTATATCTTTTCCATCTTTTTATTTCTAACTTTTCTATGTCTCTATCCTTAAGAAATTTCTTTCTTAAGGATATATTTTAAGCAGCATATATTTTCTTTTGTCTGTGACCTAATCTAAATAAAGTCCAGTATTTACTATTTTTAAGTGTTTTATGAGTTTTATGTCATATTTAAGAAATCCTTTGATAAATCCAAGATTACTAAGATTTCCTTCCATGATTTATTCTAGGAGCTTTATTGTTCTGATTCTTACATGCAGGTCTATGATTCTTTAGAGTTAAATTTTATATATGGTGTGAGGTAGCAATTGAGGTCTTTGAGGAGAGGGGCATATAGTAATCCATAGTGTTTAAGCACCATCTATAGCATAAAAAATTATGCTAGTCTCATAGAATCTCCTTGTCACTTTTACCAAAAATAAGTTGACTACTTGGCAAAAAGGACAGACTAGAGAACTCCAAAGACCTGGGTGGGGGGATTGTTGTTGTTATTGTTATTATTTTTGCAGAAACACCAAAAAATAATTAGTAAAACCTGTAAGCATCAACTTTCTCAGAACTCTGACAAATAGTCAAGACTTACAGCATCCAAGCAAATGTTGAATCAAGAAAAAGATGACTTAAACATGTCTATTTTTACTGTCAGGGTGTTGCCTGAAGGACTAACACAAGGTACTCACATATTTTTTTGTCTAAATTTGACCTCTCTCAGGACATAAAAGCACCTATATGGAAGATGTTTCTCAAAACATAGAAAGGCCATGAACTGGGGCATTTTGCTATCATTGCCACCTGGTACAAAAGAGCACAGTTCAAACAAACAATAGAGAGACCAAAAGCTTGGGGAGGTGGGATCTTTGGTGAATAAGGGCTTTTATACATAACAAACAGGTAATCTAGAAAGCCTCACTCAAACCCAGAACAGGATGCATGCTCAAAAAGCAAACAACACACAAAAGTAAGTTGTTTTACTCTACACTAGCAATAAACAATCAAAATTAAGAAAACAATTTCATTTACAATACCATCAAAAATAAAATAACTATGAGTAAATTTAACCCAGGGGGTATAATATTTGTACACTGAAAACTACAAAACATTGCTGAAAGAAATTCAAGAAGACAAGAACTCTGCTATATTGCATCAGAATTAGAGCTATCAGTATGAATTAATCATTCAGAGAGAAAAAGAAAAAAAGAAAAGCATTTGTTCTTCCTGACTCTGATAGATAAAAGAGGCTAGAAACAATAACACCAAAATAGCACATCGAGAGCTCAAACTTGTTTTCTAAATATTACTCACCATTAAAAGTCTGTAAGGAATCTTAGAGAAATCATTTATTCCAAGGATGAAATGGGAAATTACAAGGTGATTCTGGAACATCTTATGCCAAAATGTAAGGAAATGCTCAAAAAAATACAGAGAAATCACAAAGGTTACAAGAGCCAATTTGAAGTGGCCCTCTATAGTCAAACCTAAGAGAATTTTTTGATTACCAAAATGAATAATCATAGCACTGGATTATAAATTATTGAATACAAAAGAATCCATGAATCAATACTAATAAAAATAATAATAAACAGGAAGCCTCTTATTTACAATAGAATATCGACTAATAAATGTAATGAGAAATCCTGAGTTGGAAAACCACCATCCACAACCATCAGAATAAAAACTGATTCAGGCCAGAATCACCAATGAATGTTAAAACCCTTGACATAGGTTTGTTTAAGAAGAGCATATTTCACGGCTCACATAGGAGGGGCACCTGGAGTGTCCTTCTTGGGTAATTGGGAAGATGTGCCACTGGATGCTACAGGACACCTACTATATTAGGTCACACTATCAATCCTACCTGGCACATATAAACAAACAGGGAGGCAGCCTAAATGAGGAGACAAAGAAATGTCTTACATGAAAAATAGAACAAAACTCCAAACTAAACAAAATGGAAACAAGCAATCTCTCAGATTCAGAGCTCAAAAAACTGGTTATAAGGATGCATAATAAAATTAGGGAGAAAATAGCTGAAATTAGTGAGAACTTCAACAAACAGAGTGTTGAAACATACATAAAAATCAGAGATTAAAAAACATTTTTAAAACAGAAATGAATATACATATGTATATACATACATACATACATACATATGTTCATTGCAACGTTATTTACAACAGCCAAGATATGGAGAAAAACTCAACTGTCCATCAACAGATAAATGAATAAAGATGCACTGCACATAAACAATGGGATATGACTCAGCCATAAAAAATAATGAAACCTTGCCATCTGTAGCAACATGGGTAGACCTAGAGGGTATTATGCTGAGTGAAGTAAATCAGACAGAGGAAAAAATGCCATATGACTTTACCTATATGCGCAATCGAAAAAACAAAATGAACAAACAAACAGAACAGAAACAGACTCACAGGTACAGAGAATATTTTGAAGGTTGCTACAGGGAGGAGGTTGGGTGGATGGGTAAAAAAGACAAAGAGATTAAGAAGTACAAATTTGAAATTACCAAATAGTCACAGGGATAGGCTGTCAGAAGAGTACTAGATTTATTGGAGTGACCACTTCATAAGTTCTACAATGTCTAATCACTGCATGGTACACCTGAAACTAATATAATATTGTAAAACAATATAACAAAGTAAAAAAAGAAAAATAAGCTTATGCAACATGTCCTCTAATATAACTACATAGTTTTAATACTCTGAGTAGTTCAAAAGAGAAATAAAAGATTCAAAACATTATCTTAAATTCCCCGTGCAGAGTAAAGCTACAATATAATTTGTGCAATTATTTTTTAAAAATAAAACTACGTTCCTAAATGCAAAAAGTAATTGGAAGACATTACAAAATAATATAAAAAAAAACAAATTTCATTTTAAATTTGTCAAAATCACAGAGAAAACCTTGTAAAAATAAGGGATTTTAAAATAATCTACATATGTTATAGTCAATTTATATGTGGTAATATAAATAGGATTATTTACTAATTGTCATGAAAACAGAAACAGAAATACATAGTGTAATAACCCTAACAGTTATTCATTGGAAGTAATATATGTGCAACCCAATCCAGGGATGGAGTTGTTTGGAAGGGATGCTATTGGCAGATATGAAGAGCCACAATATCTTAACTCACGTGTATGTGATGAAGGGTGGTTTGTAAAAAGTGTTAGTTCCCTGTGGAACTGACTTCCCTTGGAGCCTTCAGGCAAATACATAAATATCTCTGCTCCCTGATGCCCAACACTCAGAGACCTTGATTCGCCACATCCTAGGCTATGAAGACTGCATTTGAAGTACGTGAGTAAGTTATATATTGATGTCAGATAACCTCCTGGGGAGTAAATAGGAGAGGATCCCATTTATACTAAAGGACTATAGGGCCTCAGATAAATATTTGAAAACATTAGGACTTTTTGTCTGATGTTAAGTAAGCAGAGTGATAACTAATGCTTTTCAATTTAAAACTCATGGTGGTTGACTATCTTCTCCTAGTACAGCATCCGAGTTCTTTAATTTGTAATCAGAGCCAATATACTTTTGTTTCTCTCCTTTTACCACTGCATAACAGAAGCAATCACACAACAACACAAGATTGCAAACTATTTTACATTCATTAAATATTTGTATGACAGCAGTCTTTCTTTCAACTGCCAATGACTTCATTCCATTCTCCACCTATTTCACCTCCATCCACAGATATACTACAGCCAAATAAAGTGAATTAGCCATTCTGTCGGATTCCCATAGTAGTTTGTGCCTCTAATATGTTCGCTTACCATATTATTTTAGTTGGCTGTTATTTTACTGTTGCCTTACTAAAAAAAATAAAAATAAAAATAACCTTTATTTTCTTATCCTAGATGTTCTTGGAACATTCATTATGGGAAAGAATCAGATAGGAGCTATAAAGTTTGAGTACAATTGGAAATTTTGATTGTGTCTGTAAACAAAAAGTGAGGTCCTAGGTCATATGCTCCAGGCATGACTACCTTAAACCACACTGGTGTTAGCTACACGGTCTTTCACTTACTGGGCATCCCAGGCCTAGAGGACCAGTACTGGTGGATTTCCATCCCCTTCTTCATTTCCTATGTCATTGCCCTGCTTGGAAACAGTCTTCTCATCTTTGTTATTCTCACCAAGCGTAGCCTCCATGAACCCATGTACCTCTTCCTCTGCATGCTGGCAGGAACAGACCTTGTCCTCTCCATGTGCACTGTACCTCAGGCCTTGGCCATTTTCTGGTTCCATGCAGGGGAGATCTCCCTAAACGGCTGTATCACTCAGCTCTTCTTCATCCATTCCACCTACATCTCTGAGTCAGGGATCTTGCTGGTGATGGCATTTGACCGCTACATTGCCATATGCTACCCACTGAGATACACCACCATTCTTACACATGCACTGATTGGGAAAATTGGTGCTGCCATCTTTCTGAGAAGTTACTGTACAATATTCCCCATAATATTTCTTCTGAAAAAACTGACTTTTTGCAGAACTAACATTCTTCCACACACTGTTTGTGAGCACACTGGGTTGGCCAAATATTCCTGTAGTGACATACGAATAAACATTTGGTATGGAATTTTTGTCCTGATATCAACAGTGATTTTAGATGTTGTGCTAATTTTTGTTTCATATGTGCTTATTCTCCATGCCGTCTTTCACATCCCATCCTGAGATGCTCGCCACAAAGCTCTCAACACATGTGCCTCCCATGTCTGTGTCATCATCCTCTTTTATGGGCCTGGGATCTTCTCAACCCTCACTCATGGGTTAGGGCAGCACATCTCACCCCACATCCATGTACTGCTGGCCAACGTCTGTGTTCTTGTGCCCCCTGTGCTGAATCCCATCATTTATGGGATCAAGACCAAACAGATCTGGGACCAGGTGACTCATGTCTTGTTTCCTAAAAAAATATGTCTTTGGAAATGGGAACCAGAGTAGTTTCCTCAATATTTCTAGCCATACATGAGATTAATTTTAGAAGCCCTAGCAGATGAGGGACAGTTAAGACTAGATAAATTTCTCACTGCATATATGTTCCTGAAGCAAGTCCACAAGGGAGCTTGGGACACGCTTTTTAAAAAATATATATTTTGTTGATTATGCTTGATTATACAGTTGATTTTGTTTGATTATACAGTTGTCCTAACTTTTCCCACTTTCCCCTCCACCCAATAGCCCCCACTCCCTCTAGTAATCCCTACATCATTGCTCATGTCTATGGGTCATGTATAGGTTCTTTGGCTACTCCATGCTTTTAAAGTCTCTGATCAATAATATACAATCAATTTCTTTGAGCCACAGTGAGCTTTTTCACTCAGAGTCTAAGAAATAAACCAGTTCACCTTTTTAAGTAATTCCAAGTCTATACATCTAGAGAGTATTTGAAAAGATAAAAACTATGGATTATTGCTGGACTATTCTTTACTGGTTTATTTCATGCTTCGATGTGGTAGAGAGGTTAGGAGAGAGGCAAGGAGCAAAGGAAGAAAGAAAAACCTCTGGCATCCACATTCCCCTATAGCTTTTCCTCTGCCCACCTACTCCTCCCTCTCTCCGCTCCTCCCCTGCCTCCCCCACTTCCTCCTCCTCTTCTTCCTCCTCCTCTTCCTGATCTTCTCCTTCTTTCACCTTCTCAATTACAGTAAAATGCCTTAAAAGAGTCACCTATACATTCTGGTTTTAATTACTTCTCTATTTCTCTTGATTTTACACCAGTCAGGCACTTTTTCTTTGCCATGGACTGCATGTCACACAGTAGCCTTCACACTGCAGGATCCAATGGTCAGTACTTGGCCTACATGGTACATGACACATCAATACCATCTGACATAGTGAAACAGATTCTCATTCTAGAAACTCCTCACTCAGTTCACTTTAGACTGTCTATTAGAAATAAATATGTACAAACCCCCATGTTTTCAAAATCAACTGTTGGGAACCTTACACCTGGCTTCTAGCTAAAAACATTGCATTGATTACAGGAACCTGTGCGCTCCACAGAGCCAATCGGCTACAGGCACATGAGGTGTCCACGAGTACCAGTTGCACCCAAGTAATCAATAAGCGGGCCCTTCTTTGTCTCAAGCTAGCCAATAGCAAGCAACCTAATCTCCTTCCTCTCCCTTCCCCCCCTATATATATACCCAGTTCGGAAAAATAAAGTTTGCAGCTTGATCAGAATCTTTTGTCTTGCTGCCATTCTTCGCGCCTCTTGTCCCCCCAACTCATTTGTTCTAGGTAGGTGGTCGAGCCCCAGTTGATTGCTCTGCAGGCAGGAGCAAGTGGCACCCAATGTGGGGCCCCGGAACAAAGCGCCGTCCCCGCCAGTGACTTCCCCGTACAGATTGGATCGCCGCGACTACTCGACCGCGAGACAGATCCAGGAGCCCCTCCCCTGACAGCGAACTCGGCCAGGTAAGGCCCCCAGTCATGGGACAAGCATGTTCACAAAGTGATATTTTTGTAAGTCAATTAAAGCAAACTCTCAAGGTGCGAGGAACTCGAGTTAAGAAAAAGGATTTAGTTTTATTTTTTGACTTTATATTCAAAATGTGCCCCTGGTTCCCCCAAGAGGGGACGATTGACCCGCAGTGTTGGAACCGGGTCGGAGATTGCCTTAATGACTATTATTGAGTCTCTGGCCCCTAGACCGTCCCTATCACCACCTTCAGCTATTTTAATCTTATTAAAGAAATCTTAGTCACTCATGGGCATTCTCCGGATGTCCAGAGCCTCTGTAAAGAGGGACAAGAAGTTCTAAAAAACCAATCCTGGTCCCCCTCGAGGGCCCCTTCAGCCCAAAATCTCTGTAAAGAGGGACAAGAAATTTCAAAAAATCAATCTCGGCCCCCTTTGAGGGCCCCCTCAATTTGCCCCTCAATTTCTATTAACATAGAGGAAGAGATTAAAAAACCCCCTAACCCTTCCCGTAATTCCTCAAATAACCATGTCGACCAATTAAACCCAGCAGAAGAGGCCAAACTCGAAAAAGAGGCAGCTTCTTACAATAACCTTGACTGGCCTCCTCTCTCTTCTGTCCCCTTACTTAAAGATCTCCCAGCTTTTCGGCCGCCCCCCTATGCACCCTCAAACCTACCGCCTGCGGCCACCCATATTCTGGCCCCCATTCTAAACAACCCCGAGCCACCAACAATCCACCAAAAACCCCTTCTCCAAAAAACCTCCATTCAAGAAGCCTTAATTCTCATTCGAGAAATCAAGGCCGTGGCTAAAGAATTCACTGATTCAACCATATCCACCCCCCACTGAATTACTAGCTTTCCCCAAACTGCGGGGAGTAGACCTAGATACCCAGACTGCTGACATTTTAATAGCCACACATCAAGCTCTTAACATATCTAACCCTCACCTAGCCGAGGATTGCTGGTTATGTATGAGCCTAGGCACCCCCATGCCTTTAGCTATTCCTGTCAATATATCCACCCTTAATAAATCACAGCTACAATGTAACCCTAGTTTACATTTTAGAGTCCAACCTACAATATTCCCACCCTCCCCGTGCTTACAAGGCATAGCTCAAAATAATAGCTTTGACATTCCCATCAGCTTTATGGAATTTACTAGTTGTAGCAGCATAACCAATTATAGTAACCCCCTTTGCCCAGGTCATGGACAAATATTCGTTTGTGGAAACAACCTAGCCTTTTCAGCCTTGCCCGCTAACTGGACCGGGCTATGTGTCTTGGCTACCTTACTACCAGATATAGATGTTCTCCCTGGAGACGAGCCTGTCCCCATTCCCAGCTTAGACCATATTGCGGGGCGACAAAAAAGAGCATTAACATTCATACCCTTATTAGTTGGATTGGGCGTCTCTGGAGCAGTTGCCACAGGGACTGCAGGATTGGGAGTCGCAGTCCATTCATACACAAAGCTCTCTAAACAACTAATTGATGATGTCCAGGCTCTGTCCAGTACCATTAGTGACATCCAAGACCAAGTAGACTCCCTAGCAGAAGTTGTCCTTCAAAACAGACGAGGTCTAGATTTACTTACTGCAGAACAGGGAGGTATCTGTTTGGCTTTACAGGAACACTGCTGCTTCTATGCCAACAAATCAGGCATCGTCCGAGACAAGATAAAACAGTTACAAGAAGACTTAGAAAAAAGAAGAAAAGAACTTTCTGAACACCCCCTTTGGGGTGGACTCAACGGAATTCTCCCCTACCTCCTTCCCCTCTTAGGACCTTTAGTTTCTATCACCCTCATCCTCTCCTTTGCCCCCTGGATTCTTAGACGTGTAACCAACTTAGTCAAAGACCAACTTAACAGTGTACTAGGAAGACCTATTCAGGTGCACTATCAACAAATAGAAATGCTAGAACATGGAGCAGACTCTGAGCCACATGGAGCGGACTCTGAGCCGTACAGCCGCTGGGGTGCTAGCCCACGATTCCTGCCAGGTTCCCCTCCTGCGGGAGCAGCATAACCCTCGAAGGTATGCTTCACAGCCAAGTAGCTGTGATAGACACTGCTGGGTGCAAGGCAAAGCACTGCAAGGAGAGGCCTGTACATACGGCCACTTCGAGTCTCCTGAGAGGTAAGCTGACTTGCAAAGAGGTTGGTACCCAACTCCTCTCCTCCCAAAAGGTACCCTAAAGCTCAGAATGAGCCCAGGAGGAGTCAGGCCTCTGCCTCCCCCAGCCGGTTAAAGTCTACCCTATCTACATTCTCCTCGCCCTCAAAGTAATAAAAAGGGGAGGAGATGTTGGGAACCTTACACCTGGCTTCTAGCTAAAAACATTGCATTGATTACAGGAACCTGTGTGCTCCACAAGCCAATCGGCTACAGGTACATGAGGTGTGCATGCGCTCCCCAAGCCAATCGGCTACAGGCACTTGAGGTGTCCACGAGTACCAGTTGCACCCAAGTAATCAATAAGCGGGCCCTTCTTTGTCTTAAGCTAGCCAATAGCAAGCAACCTAATCTCCCTTCCTCTCCCTCCCCCCATATATATACCCAGTTCGGAAAAATAAAGTTTGCAGCTTGATCAGAATCTTTTGTCTTGCTGCCATTCTTCGCGCCTCTTGTCCCCCCAACTCATTTGTTCTAGGTAGGTGGTCGAGCCCCAGTTGATTGCTCCGCAGGCCGGAGCAATCAACATATTTACTACTAACATTTTACAAGAGATTGCTATCTATTTTCTACTGTGTATGTGTGCGCAGGTAAATAAATATTTTTAATTGAACTATATTTTATCTATTTCTCTAGAATGGATGTTTCTCATTCAGCAAATTAATCTAGCATAATCCCTTGCTAAAACTGTGTACCTCTGCAGGCATTTGTACCAGCTCTCCACTATGTTCATACAGAGATGTGCACTCTTAAAAAGCATTCCTGCCCTGGCTAGTGTGGCTCAATGAACTGAGAGCCAGTCTGCAAACCAAAGAGTCGCCAGTTAAATTCCCAGTCAAGACACATGCCTGGGTTGCAGGCCAGGTCTTCATTTGGGGACTTACAAGAGGCAACCACACATTTCTTTCTCCCTCCCTCTCTCTCTCTCTCCTTCCTCTCTCTCTTTCTCCCTCCTTTCCCCTCTCTCTAAAAATAATTAAAATATTTTCTAAAAAAATAAATAAAAAGTATTCCTTACATGTCACTGCAATTATTTATTTACTTTTCATTTCCCATTTGAGAACAGGCTTGGCATTCTATACACTTGACTTCCCTGATGCCCATTATGTTATCTGAAAGAGTAGGCACTGGGTACAACCACTATGGAAAACAGTATGGAATTTTCTAAGAAAACTAAAAATGAATATGCCTTTTGACCCAGCAATTCCACTGCTAGGAATTGAGTTCTTATATCCTAAGAACCCTGAAACACCAATCCAAAAGAACCTATGCACCCCAATGTTCATAGCTGCACAATTTACAATAGCCAAGAGTTGGAAGCAACCCAGGTGCCCATCAGTAA